CCCGGCTCCGAAGCGAGGCCCGGCGGCTTGCAGCCGTCGTGCCTTGCCTGCCCCCCCCGCCGCTGCCGCTGTGCCGAGCGGTGGTGAGGCAGTTCACAGAGCGTTCCCTGCGCATGCGCAGGGGACGCTCTGTTACTTTTGGGGGGATTTAAATATCCCCCTGATATTTTTCCCCCTTTTCAGATTTTTGTGCACACCTGGGGACTGCCCCAAGTGTGTACGAAAATCTCCCTCCCCCCCAGGTGCCCCCGATGCACGGATTTAGGTATCCGCACGCAGGGGGCACCTTTCACTATTAGATATATAGATAGAAGCCAGTGAAGTCTTGCTTTGTTTGTATTGATGTGACCAGGTATCCTATCAACTAATGGGGTAATGATTTTAAGACGAGCCTCTCTGTAGAATGGGCAACTGAAAAACATATGCTCTACTGATTCAACCTCGCATGGAGTGCATGAGCATAGCCTTTCAGGGTAGGGGTTTTTATTATACCTGCCTTGAAGAACTGCAGATGGAAGGGTAGAACATCTGGCTAGGGTGAATGCCCTTCTAGAGTTCTTTCCCTCCACTGAAGTCAGATATGTAGCCGGCTCAATGGCGCTTTTGATATTTAGCAGTACCCCGACTCTTGCAATATTTTGCTTATTTAACAGTGTCTGATAACTGACACCTCTTGCTCTGAATTATTGCATCACAATGTCTGTGCTGTTGCAATCTTGAGTATGGTGTTCAGGTGTGTCTCTGTAAGCTGCAAACGTACGATGATGCAGCAGCAGCAGAACTGGAAGAAGAAGCAGAAGACAGCCAGTTCCACTGCGGGCCTGATAGAAGCCCTCCGGGGGCCTGATCCAGCCCCTGGGCCGCATGTTTGACACCCCTGATCTAGAGAGTGTGACAGCAGTAAACACTTCCTGCTCAGGAACTGAGATCACAGGGAGAGGTCCTCCACACTGTCTTATCCATCAAAGAAGCGCCTTTGGTGGGTACACGAGGGAGGGCCTTTTCAGTGGCAGCCCCACCGTTAGGGAACAACCTTCCCAGGGAGGACCCCCTCACTTTCAACCTTTTGGAGGCAGGCAGTTTTGTTTAGGACCACATCTGATTAATTCACTGGCGGACCCAAATTACAATTTTAAATTTTTTAAAAATATATATTTTATGTATTCAGGGTTTTTTTGTATTTTGTCTATATTGTTAGACACCTTGAAGGAAAGGACCACATCTGATTAATTCACTGGCGGACCCAAATTACAATTTTAAATTTTTTAAAAATATATATTTTATGTATTCAGGGTTTTTTTGTATTTTGTCTATATTGTTAGACACCTTGAAGGAAGAAAGGCAGCACATAAATGTTTTAAATAAATAAATTAAATCTGTACCAGGGACTTCCCCGTTCTTGGCCTCTGCGCTACACCCGGTGACACTAGACACAGGCCCGCTTGCAAGAAGCATCCTGGCCGGCACTCACCTTTCCCAGCGGATTGTTCGGAGAGTTCAAGACAATGGCTTTGGTTCGCTTTGTGAATTTGGTCGCCAGCTCTTTTGGATCCAGCCGCCAGTCTCCGCTGGACATCAGCTTCCCGTCTCCCGCTGCTTTCTGGAGAGAAGAGGGAATGATAAATGGGTACCCACCCTTAGTAGGGTGGGGGGCACCCTGCCTGGCATGGTGGTTGCGACGGCGGTGGCGAGGCATCGGTTCCGGTGCAGATGGTGTGGCGTGGCGATGCGGCAGCGATGGCGAGCAGGCGCGGCCGGAGGAGCGATCCCTGGCGGCCGAAGAGGCGAGGACATTGGAGTGGCCGCCGCCGAGAAGGGGCGTGC